ATGGCTGGAGGTGGCAAGATTATAAAAATAATCCTCTCTGTAAATATATCGGTTAATTACGACATTTTCTAATAAAATCCTATGTCTTATTTCAAGCCTACAGTCCAGAATCACATCAAACCAGGTACTGGTTAGATTAGGAGCACCTATTAATCAACTGGTTTTATTCCAAATAAATAGTTATTTGATTTACTCTCTTTGATTGCCTACCATATCCTGTCATTAGCAATACCCATATTTCTCATGTTTAAACACATTGAGTAATATTTGAGGTGGCATTTCCTGTTGTGCAGTCTAGCTTTGTGTGTAATATGCAGTTTTTGAAAACATGGGTTTCACTGCTGACAAGCCTTAACACCTTTAAAACTGCCCTTCTAACTGCCTATTTCGGTTTGCCGCAGGTCAAAACTGTGATGGATGTCAGTTCTGCGGAAGAGACGCCGTGCAACACGCAGCGAATGCTAGAGACCACAGAGGAGAAAAACCCTACCAGTGCAAACACTGTCCAAAGAAGTTTAGCCTAAAACATCAGCTCGACACACATCACCGCGTTCATACGGGTAATTCTCTAAATAATTGTTAACAGTTCAAAAACATACTTTGTGTCAGTATACCACTGACGACCTATTGATTACTCATTGTTCTAGTTGATTGGAATCAAGCTTGCAACCCTAACAACTGCGCATTGCATAGATTTATGTTTCTGTCATGTTCCAACCAAAGACTTGGGTTTATTTTGAGTTGGGAGGGGTTCATTTGATAGATCGTTATAAAGCGGTTAAACTGTGAAGTGTAAAAAAATAAAAAATAAAAAAAGTTATTCACTAATTAAGCAAAAAAAAAACAAAAACAAAAATCAGCAAAATGTGAGATACACTTTGTAATTAGCCCCTTTACTTTTATACCACAAACTAAATAAATAAATAAATAAATCCAGGATTATCAACTAACCTCGAGTTCACCTGTCTAAAATTTAATATAAATAAAAAAATAAAAACCAGATGTTCTGTGAAGGTCTCGAAGGTTTGTTAGTGAACAAGCAGCATCATGAAGACCAAGAAGAACAGCAGACAGGTCAAGTTTTCATAGAACAGTATTCAATGCATCACCCAAAAACTAGTAGTGCAAATCACTAAAGTAAAGTGTACTGTCATTGGAAATACTTTACGGCACTTTGCTCCAACATAAATGCATTAGAACATACATGTTCTACACACTCACAGAGATTTGGAAATGTTTTTTTTTTTTTTCCCCCCATTGTTTTAATTGCTTTTTACATTATTCTTTAAAATGGTTTCTTAATATTTTTATTTGTCTCATTACATCATTTTAACAAATTAAATCAGACTAAATCAGATATCATAATTAGTTACTCAGTGCTTTAGCAGAATTTTCACCAAATACGTCTACTTGAGTAAAAATGTGTTGCGGTAATGTTACTCATTCTTGAGTACGATTGTTGCCTACTCTACTCGCCTCTTTCTATCAAACAAAATCCCGATAAAATACATAGGTTTGGTGGTTGTAACGTGACAACATTTTCAAAAATGTCCTACTGCTAAGAAATACTTTTGTGACATACTATATGCTTGAGTACTTTTAAGTTGAGGAGTTGTTGTAGTATTGCATTGGTAAACGAAATGATGGTAAAGTGTGCAATTATGCAAATATTTACTCTGTGGCACCTTCGAATGTTTAAAATGTCGCTTATAAATTTCTGTTTTTCCAAAGTGCTGAACATTTTCTGAAGAAGACTGTAGTAGAGTTGTTTTCCAAGCAGCTCATAGTTTTCCACTCATTTTAATATCACAAAAAACCTCACAGAAAAACTGAAACTAACAGATCTCAATCTTCCATGAGGTAGGAGACGTGTTAATCAACAGTGTACATTAGGATTGCTTATATGCTTATATATATATAAACTAAGAACAAAACTTGAGGCATTTGGAACATTCAAATGTTTCACAATTTCATTTTTATCCACATCTAGACGTTAGTAGCAAATGGTTAGCCGGTAAATGTGCTCTTTTTGTTTTTACCATGACATAAAATCAGAGAAACAAACTGACTAAGTGGAACAATGGCATGAAGTTAACTTGTGCAAACCTGAATGATTAGCATAAAAGTGTCCCAGTTTAGGTGATTTCAATCACTAACGCAATTCATTTCTGAAAAAGAAAGAAAAGAAAAAAAATCACGGAAGTGATGCGCACTCGTCATTTACAGGGTTTGGCAACAACCGACTGAAAAGCTCATATGCTAGAATATAAATGTGAGACCCTATGCCCGTGCTCTTTGTTTGCCCCCCCCCCCCCCCTCCAAACACCTTAAATGTCTTCCTTCCTGTGCATTGTCTTTGCTTCTAGGAGAGAAGCCGTTTGAGTGTCGTCTGTGTGGTCAGCGCTCACGGGACTACTCTGCCATGATCAAACACCTGCGGACCCATGGCGGCGCAGCGCCCTACCAGTGCACCGTGTGCCTGGAGTTCTGCAGCAGCCTGGTCGCCATGCAGAGGCACATCAAGAGCCACGCTGTGCAGGACTTCCCCCCTGACTGGAGCATCAACAACACCTACTTGTACATCTCCCACATATGAGGCCATCCTCATAAAGCTGTAGCTTCAGTTGGTGAATCTCCTGTGAGGGCTGTTTAATTTGGGTTGAATTTACAGTACGGGAGTGACACTCATAGCTAAAGGTCTGCTTAACCCATACAAAAGTGAACGTTGAATAAAAACATTTCTCCAATTTGTGGTTCAAGGTCAAACCCGACATTCTGAAACCGTTCTCTATTTGCATTTGCAATAATAGGAAATACAGATGCAGTACTATTTCCAGTGACATTAAGGGTTTTGAAAGTGTTTACCAGGCATTAAAGCCACATCAGCATCTAATCCTCGATGCATGACGCAGGAATCCTCCCTCTGACTTTCAAAATTATTATCGGACTGCTTGTGCAAGCTTCGCAGCCTTCACCCGGGTTCACAGCGCCCTCAAGAGGACATGCAGCGAAAACAAAAATCGGCATTTTCTTGTGCTGGAGCTTTAAACGCCACGCTTGAAAGAACACAGGAAATATCAGAATCAGCCCTACTATCACTGCACAGTAAAAATAAAACATAATAATTCATTTAGTTTAAACCATATCATATTCACATTTGCATGCTGACTTGCCTATTCATATAATATCACACGTACTTGGGATAAAAGGTGTCGAGACTTCAGAATTAAGGGTCAAATAAGAAATATTTCATTCATTCTTGAATATAAAAATGTGTCAAACTAGATTATCAACATTAACTGAAATATGATAAAGGTTGCATGTGCTATTTTTTAATGTATCGTTCTGCTGTATTACTATTTAATAAATATTAGCTCCTGTAACCAAGTTACTTTTTAATCCTCAGCTAAGATCTTTTGTTTTCTGTCATTGCCAAATGCATGGACACCAATTCACCTACGTCACGTCCTTTAGATTGAATAGCACTTGGTAGATGAAATGCTTTTTACAAAAGCTACACATGCGGTATGTTACAACTGATGTTTTCTCAGTAGTTAATGTTTGCGATATGTGACGTTATAAAATGCTTCCTCCAGGGAGCTTTCTGTACAGCTTACAGGCCTGCTACCACTTACGGATAAGTGTGGATTTCAACAGCATTATCATAATAAGTATGAAAAAGGAATATCAATAAATGTTTATTTCTTTTGCCAGCTAAGCATTTACCAGATAAATGTGCTATGTTACTACTTCACCAAATAAATAAGTTTGTAAGTACAGAGTTTTGTCTGCAATTCTTTCAGTTTATCCACTTACATTTTCTTCTGCTTAGGCTTTTCCCTTCAAGGACCTGTCTATTTAATCATATATAAATACTCATCAGTGTCGTTATTTAAATGATGCTTTTCTGGTTTTACTCTTATCAGACAAATCGCATCTAATGCATCAGATACGTTCTTCAGGACATCAAAAGCTATGCTGCTTATTTGTGGTGAGCGAGTGAAATAGTATAGAAATGCTTACTGTCTTTATCAGCCTGTTAAGCATGTGGTGGCGATGAGATGTTCTCAGAAACTGGGGGGGGAGTTTGTGTGAGAGAATGTGTGTGGCTGAGTGTGTAGTTGTTTATGCAGTGTGTCTGGGACCTTTACTAGCATTTACATTTACTGCCTGTCGAGCAGCTAATGGTGATCAAAGCCTGACTCCGGTGTGACAAGCAATGATTTTTAAGAATGCGGTTGGTTTCATTGTCACAGTGACAATCCTCTGAATCAGTTCAGTGATTAAAAGAGTTCAGACAAATGCATATGGTGACGCATACCACTCAAAGCCTATCTCCACTGTATTAATCTTCTTAATGCGAACTTTGACATCAACAGCTGCAGTTAAACTTCTCCACAACTTTCTCCCTGGCCTCACTAGCGCCTTCTTTGGTGCCTATGATCTCGTTTGTTCACTAAAGTTCTCTAACAAACTCACTGAGGCCTTCATAGATGGGATGTGTTCATACTAAGAGTCAATTTTACACAGATGGACTCAATTCACGATAGCTACATTGCTCCAGACGGTAGTTGTTCACACTGGAAGATTAATCCAGGATATCAGAGTAAAAGAGCTAAATACAAGAAGCACACCACACTTTCCAGATTTTTTATTTGTAACAAAATGTTTAATTTACAATCATTGTTATTCAGGAGACCACTGGCAAAAGGGGACGCCACTTTAGCTCTGTGTTTCAACTTCATGTCTTGTCTGACATCTTCATGTTGTCAGAAAATTGTAAATTAAACTTAACTGTTTAAACAATGTACTTAATCACAAGTAATTTATTATTTAACAAGGGAGACAATGACTTTTTTTACAAAGGGTCAGGTTGATTTGGTTGGCTTTGCACCCTGCAGCTGCATTTATCTTTGAAAGTAAAATGGTTTTGTTTCTCTAAAATGTTTCAGTGTCACAAAAATGCAATATTTTTTTTTATCTTGAAAAGTAATTTTAAAAAATCTCACCGATAAAACTGACATCCATGACTGAAAAATAACGTCTAGTCTCTCTGCAAAGCTGATGGTTTGTTAAAGTTTGTACGTCTAGAGTCAGATTTTTTTGAATAAGTTATGAGTGGCAAGCCTTCTAACACTGTTATCACGAGCTGCATCTAAAACACAGCACATAAACTTGAAATAACTTGAGTTTGAAGGAATGCTCAAATGTGATTATTAGCTTCCAAAAAGACAAAGAAGGGGATGGAAACGCAGTGAGTTTGTTGATACAATATTTAGTTTTTATTAATAAACGGGTCTATGCATATTTAAGGATAGAAGGGGGATGTTAAAAGTCCTGTAAAACATTCTATCACAGCATCTGCTCAGCACTTGCTTCACTTTCATTACCTTCTGACATTCTTTCCTCCTGAATGTCACCGATGGTAAACCGAATGTTCGACGGAGACTTTTCTTTGCCTCCTTCAGCTGCTCCCTCTGCCCAGGCATCGCACTCCCTGCAGGCGGTGTGGCTTTGGACTTTGCACCCGACCAGAACCATCAGCTGGTGTGCTTGGCTGGCGCTGCAGTTTGGAAGCGGTACCTTGTATGTGGTGTGGAACCTGCGCAGATCCACTCGAAATGAGCCTTTCTCCAGCGTCATGCAGGGTTCAAAGCGAGCACCCCACTCAATCTCTGTTTCTATGTAAGATGTTTTGGCTTGGCACATCATTCCTGTAAAAAAAAAAAAAAAAAAAAATTTAAAAAAGAAGTGTAATTCACATTGTGTTCCACAAGATGTCGCTATGTGTTTGTATTTCCCTGCACAGTACTTTGTGTGAACATCATGACATTCCGTCCTATTACTATGATGCCATAACGCTTTACTCTTTGAATGTACAGTAAATTTGCTTAGGGATGAAAAAATTATCATTGCTGTTGCAAAGGTACGTTGCAGTTGTAATTGATTCAATCTGGTATCTAGAATTTGTATGATGAAGCTGAAAGCAAGTAAAAACATAGGAGAAATTAATAATTACAGCAATGATGTCATCATCTTCACCTGGAGAAAATCTGTATGAGATAGATTGTCCCTGTATGAGATAGATTGTCCCTACCAGGGGGTGCGGGTGTCGCACCCCCTGCTTGAAAAGGGGTGCGGGTTTTAATGTTTTTATTATTTTTTTCATCTTTTTTTTTTTTCAAAATCTCTTTCTCTTTCTTATTCAATGTCACATGCTGTTTTCTTTTAATTATGTAAAGCACTTTGAAATGCCTTGCTGCTGAAATGCTTCTGCTATTCAAATAAAATTTGATTGATTGACTGATTGAGAAAAGTACAAATGGGCCTACTCAAAGGACACGTACTGTTCTAGGATGTAATCAGCATTTATGTAATAAAACTTGTGTTTTAGTGGAGAGATTTTATCTTTTTTAAAAATGATTTAGGAAAAAATAGCAAAACCAACAAATAGAATCTGATAAATAATGTAGGTGATAAAATATACCAAAAGTAAAATCTATTAACAAAAAAATCTAGACAAAAAACTTTAATTAAATTCTAGAACTTCGATGTTTTTTAATGATTGTGTTTCCCATAATGTAACACATCTATTAAATTCCTTTCTTATTGGTCTGATGTAATATTTTTAGTTTTTGGGAATATGAGTTTTTGGCTTTCAACAGCTCTAAGTCATCGGCCTTTGCGGAAAGAATTACCTAAATAAATGAGCATACTGCCCGTTAGAGAAACCTGCAGTGAAATTTCCATGGGAAAAGTTAATCTGATCTCTACAAAAAGCATGAAGAAAAGGCGGAAGTTTGCCTTGTTCATTGGACAAATTAGTCTAAAAGGTAATTATTTGGACACAGGACCAAAAGGCACCAAATCATCATTTTCTTCCAAGAAAAACATGTTAGGCCAATAGTTCAACATGTCAGAATCAATAGTGAAATACAAACATCAGAGGGTGTTTGAGGAAAATGTGAGAACATTTATTAAGCAAAATAATCCCAAAACTGGCTGGGAAATGAGATCATCTGGCTCTGGGACTACAGTCATATAGTCATTCAGTCATACAGGACTACAGGATATGATCTTTAGATCATATCCTCCCATGCTTTGAGGATTGGAGAGACATTATACACTGGTAGAAGACTAAAATAAATATCTCAATGATATTATTTCAACCACATGGGTAACTACAGTACTTAGGAGGTATGGTGGCTGAACTTTTTCCCTGTTAGAAAATGCAATGTGTTTACATATCTTATGTAAAGAGTAGCAAGTTGCTCATGTTTTTGCTCACATTTAAGTCACTTTATTTTTGAGATACAAGTTATTTAAAATAGAAAAAAAATCATTTAAAAGTATGAAAGAAATTGTTACGTGAATGTGTTTCAGAAATGTTCCAAATCCATCCTCATTTTTGCAGACTTCAGAAGTAATAGCTTCCAGACCCAAGACAAAGACCCCTTTAATTGCAGTCTGCTCACTCTTACATATGTCGAACTCTCATGCAAAAATGAAACTAGAAAGCAGACAGATTAAAGTGATGAAAGACTGTTTCCTTCGAAAGAGATTCTTTTGTTTTGTATTGGTCACAGAGCAATTGTATAAATCCGACTCAATAGTGTGGCCACAGAAGTTGTTGTTATTTAGTTTTAATGAATGGTCCATGCACAGGCCAGTATCCTCATGAGAGTTCAGGAATTTTAGTCCCAGAGCCAAACCTCAACATCTTGCGACTCACTAGAAAAAATATGTCTGTGGCCTGAAGGAAGGCAACATTGCCTGGAATATTCTCATTCAAATTGACTGTAACAATGATAAATGCCTCTCTTCACTTTTTGTAACGTCGTAGTCACAATCGTGAGAGCATTTTATAAAGCCTTTATGACACGCTAGTAGATAAGTGTTGTGTGAAAGAGAGATGTAATGGTTTTAAGCATTTCTTTAGAATGAAAATCTTTAAAGTGTGGCATGCACATGATATATTCAGCGCTCTTTACTCTGATAGCCTTAAACAAAAATCCAGAGCAATCAAAAGGAATTGTTGATGGGAAACCATAAGAAGCCTTGTTTACATCTCAAGCTAATCTGAAAAAGAAAAGCATCCACATGACAAAGATGGTAAAAAAAAAAAAACATACATCAAATGCTTGCATCTGCAGTTGTGGATAAATTGTCAAGTTAAAACAGCAAATGATACACTTGTGAGTGCATTTACTATCTCCACCCAACTGGCACACCCATCCCTTTCACTCAGGCCCATCTGAAGTCTATAAGGTAACTTGGCACACCGTGCTCACAATGATCTCTTCAGAGAAAGAGCTTCAAGCTTCCACAAAGACACCACTGGTAGGAACTGGACATTATATCATTTAATCTGCATTCAGAAGACCAAATTAGCCTTGTTGATGAAATGGGTTTTATGTGTTTAGAATGTAGTTTATTTATTTGTTCATTCACTGTTAACTTAAAAGTAGGTTGTTAACGTCACCTGGAAAACTAGTTAATTAGGTCATTGTGATCTGTAATTGATTTTGTTTCATTTGTTTGTAGGTTTTCAACCTGCTCTGTGACTTCTGTAACTATCTTGACTACTCCATGTAAAGTCATGGTGGTTTTGCGCTGTCAGTTGGAAGAATCCAAAGACAAAAAGAAAAGATAAATAAAAGATGTCGCTGAGGTGAGTGGTTCCTGCGTTTGTTTGATGGGAGCAAGCCTTTTTCAAGTTTGGGCAGAAGCCGAGATGGTTTAAAGAGAGCAAAAAACTTGACTGTGTGTGTGTGTGTGTGTGTGTGTGTGTGTGTGTGTGTGTGTGTGTGTGTGTGTGTGTGTGTATAAACTTTAAGAGTTTATGAAATTTTGAATTATTAGAATACCTTGGCAATAAAACAGGTGAGTCTTTATATAAGCTCTGATAGTTTGGCTTAATGACCTAAGTAAACTTTTGATTTTAATAAAATATTTTTGCAAAAGAAGATAGACATAAAACTCAAATTGTGAGAGAAATACAGAAAAAAGTTAAATTACTATGGAAAATAAATGCTGGGAATGTTAAGATTCTACTCTATCTCCCCTTCCTGTGGAGTTAACTGTTACTAACCTGTGGCCTCGACTATTCCCTCCAATATAACAATGATCTCAAACTGCTGTCGTCGGAGCTGCTCCGGGCCCAGGTCCCACAGCGGGCTGCTTGCACCAATATTATGCTGAATGACTTGAGGTTCAACCAGGAAGAGGCGGTCTGATCCAGTTTCATATCCGAGGTCAATCTCTGTCTGCTCCAGTGGTAGAAATTCCCCCTCAGCTGTCTGGCGGGACTTTATTAACTTTGCTCGAACCTTTGCATCCACCATGTGGCTCTCGCGCAGGTCTCCGAGGCGAAACATCAGGCACAGCTGGTCATCGCGGTTTGCGATGACGCAGGTGCGGCTGAAAAGAAGCGTCTCGGCTCGCTTTTTGGGACGAGATATTTTCACAAACATGCAGCCCACCATGAGGGCATCTATCATGGAGCCCACGATGCACTGCATCATGACCAGCAGCACACCCTCGTGGCAGGTGGGGGAAACAGTCCGTGAGCCATAACCAATGGTACGCTGTGTCTCCACGGAGAACAGAAGGGCCGATATGAAACCATCTATTCCCAAGTAGCAGGGATTTTGGTCTACATGCTGGTTCCGAGTTGTACCAAGAGGTTGTTCTTGACCCAACTCACCTCGAATGGATGCATTAGCATAATAAAGGCCAGCAAATAGGAACCAGGTTGTAATATAGCACATCATAAAAACAAATAGAAACCAGCGGTACTGGAGGTCCACAAAAGAGGTAAAGATATCAGAGAGAAAACGCCCCCTTTCATCAATGTGGCCGAGGTTGACTCTGCACTTTCCATCCTTGGACACGTAGCGAAGTTGCTCTCTGGTTTCTGGAGGAAGTCTGGGTGTTTGGTTGCTTTCACTTTCTATGAGTTTACTTCGAGCCTTTGCAAGCCTCTCCATTTCCCTTCCAGGGCTAGATGTGTTGCTGTGTGCTGGTGAGAGTGGGCTGGTGTGGAGAGGGCTGCTGTGGGTGAAATGAAGGGGACTGGAGGAGCCCATGTTGGGGACACTGAGGGCATGACGACGGAATTGCGAGACATTGTTGGTCTCGCTCAATGAACAGCGCCGCCAGACGTTCTGCTCTTTATCTGTGACTCCAGGAGTGCAGGGAGGCAGCAAGCAAAAACTGCCTCGAATATCCGTTGTGCTCTTGTAGCGTTTCCTGGTTGGTGCAGAATCAGGAGATGCCTCTGCCACGGCGTCCTTCGTCTAAGGAAAGAAACACAGCTATTATACTTCCTGCTGAAACTACAGCCAAGCCACAGGGTCATGGAGTGCATTTCAGTTCAACGCACCACAGTTCCTCTAACTTTTCCTTAGAAAGTTAGAGGCACTGCTGTTTGGGAATAGATAGTGTCATACCGCCGTGACAGTATGCGCCGGTATGAAAAGAACAAAAAGACACCCTCTTTGCACACAACAGGGAATTATAGCAAAGCTCCAGTATTCCCTGCACATTCAGATTTACTGCAGCTTTATTGCTGTGCATGTTTTTTTTTCTCTCTCTGTTTTTTCTCTCCTTTGCCATTTTATGCATTCCTTTTTTTGGTTTCTTAGTACTTAATTTTGGCTGCAAAAATGATCTTTCTCCCACAAAAACGTTTAAGTGATTAAACTTCCTTGTGCTTGAATGTCTGCGAGCAATTGCTGTTTGAGAAAATCTTGATAAAAAGCAATTACTAGGGAAAAAGAATCCAGAAAAAAAATTGTCACAAAGTTTGACACAATTGTAAGAGCTTTTTTTTTTTTTTCCTGTCAATATTCAAAGTTTAAATTACTTTCTTCTGCAAAACAGAGATTAATATTGTGAGGGAGATTTGAGTGGTTTTCATAAAGTGTGTTTAGTAATGCCCTACACTATTTTTTCACAGAACTAACATGACAGGACAGTTGTTTGTGTCGACCATGTGAAGGTCAAGATGTCCTAAGGAAGAACCTCCCAGGAACTGAACAGGACATTCTTCCAGGCAGAGTGTTTCTTGAAGATAATGAAATTGTTTATGTTCACTGTACTTTTAAGGATGTTGCAGAGCCTCTCTCCATAACACCCTTCCCCTGTTCTGAAGCAACACTCTTCTTTTGCCAGTAAGTGAATGAGTCTTTACAAACTCTATGGAAACAGTCTTTGATTTATTAAATATTTACACCACAAATTTTTTTTATTGTTTTCATCTCTAATTCGTAAACATGCTCTTCTAATGTAAACATTTGAGCACTAGATTTTAAGGAAATCTTGGAGCAATGCATCAGTAATGTTTCCTTTTACTTGATTAAATAAAGGACAGATACAAGCTTTTTGAAATTTTGGGGTTTTGTAATTTAACAAAATACTTGACTAAAAGGTGAAGTAAGCAGGTTCACAACTGTAAAATACATGGTTTATTTGCAGGCTACAAAATGTCAGTAGGTTCAGACAAACTGACAAGCCTGTTACGGTCACTGACCTCTAGGGGCTCTCTTCATGAAAGAGCTCTCTTGTTTTGTGTGTTTTACCTGGCTGCCACAGGTGGGATGAGTTGGGGCTCGTCAGCCACCCTACAAAAAGCAGCAAGCTGAAGATGCCAGACCCCCTTCATTTGTTTGTCCTGGGCCTTGACCTGTGATCCTGTGTGGGAACTGATTGTGTGTGGGAACTGAACTGAGCTAGCTGTGAGCATCTTTGTGAACAATTGTTCAAGACGTGTTTTTGTTCAGAGGTGGAAGCTGGTAGGGGTTCTCTGCCATTTTTTTTTTGTGAACTGTTTTCTCCTGTTTTTTGGTTAGTAAGGGAGTTTAGGTTTTGTATTTTCCTTTAGTTCTTCTTTAGAACGTGGTTGTTTTATTTTATAGTTATAAGGGGGTGTTTTGTTTATTATTTTGGCCTTGGAGACCCTGAAGCATTAAGCTCCCCTGTGTTTTTTTATGTCTCCTGTAGTTGTTGTTTTATCAGGACTGTAAAATAAATTATACCCATCCATCAACTGTTCGGATTACTTTTTTCGTTTTATGTTAAAACCCAGTGCCAGAATTTACTTTAGGAATTTTAGGGTGGGGTTGTAACAAACCCATAAGTTCAAATCGGTGAAAGGTTAAGAGAGTTGAGATAGAGAACTTGTACGCGTCTTCAATTGCTTGTGTAGTTTCATTACTTTTTGTATTATATTATTAAATACGCAGCATGTACCACAAATATGTGGATCTTGTTTAAGATATGGTAACATTCTTAAGATTAAAGCAACAGCTACACTAATTCAAGCTTCCATTTTTAACGAAACGAAAAATGGCAAAAGAATACAGCTTACATTTATGAAGTAGCTCTCACAGTGAATTTTCTCCCCTGTTGGTGTGGAATGGACCACCATGATAGACTGTGGGCAACTAGCTGTAGAGGTCTGTTGTCCTTTTGTCCTGACCTGCGTCGATCCACAGCACTCTGTGGTCTCCACATTGCTGTCTTCTCTTGCTCCAGAATGCATCACAGAAACGGGAGGAAGATAAACACTAGCAGCAAAGTATGGTTACGATGACATCGTCCAAATTCTTTGCTCGATGAAAGAACAGCAATACAATTAGTTTCCAGCATCCTGACCAATGCCAGCATCTACATCTGAGCTTCTTAAAAGTGACCTAAACACAAGTTTAGCAATTATAAATCCCATCTGAGATGAACTGACCTTTCAGTCCGCGTGCCTATAGTGGCAATGAGCCGCTAACAGTTGGAGGAAAGGCTTTACCTTCTCCAGCTAGAGTTAAGCTCCCGCTTTATGCTGCCTCAGCAGTACTCTCACTGTATCGCTCAGAGTAGATCATCTACCCTTCGATTATACAACATCTATACAGGACAGGCCTATGGTTATTGAACTGGCAGCTGTAAGAACAACTTAACTTTAAACAAGTAAATTGGGGCAATTTCTCAATATGTTCTTGCCTGGGAGACAACAGGCCAGCATAGTGACGTCCTAAACAACCAAGTTCGATGCACAGTCACACCACCACATGCCTAAAGTACACACTGTTACTATCCACTGACCCCCACCTTCGTGCAGTAAAGCAGGCTTAAAAGGATTTTATTACACGCCTTGTGGATCCATGTGGATCTTGTTTAAGATCCACATGGATCTTAAACAA